GGATTTTGTGTCTTATCTCGTGACCTCTCAGAGTAAAAGCACTTGGTCCCGGGGAGAGGCCTCCTGACCGCATACGGCTGCAAAGGTGACGTGTCAGTTGTGATTCTTCGGTGGTTTGACACGTGGGACGTGAAAATGAAAATCTCTCACCTTGCTGCTGTGATCAGTTTCATCTGAGGATTCCAGGTCCGGCCCTTCGGTCTCCTCCAGAGCGGTCTCAGCACCACTGCCCTGCTCGCCGCACAGGCCGTGCCCTGCAAGACGACATCAGAGGAAAATGAGGGTCGGCATGTGCACCAACCGCTAAAAGCCATGCCTGGGCAAAGCGGGGCACGGGGTCAGGCTCACGACAGGTACATACATTGTGAGACCCTCCAAATACGAGCTCCACGATCTTGGCTCAGTAAGTGTGTTTTTATTGTTACTAGTATTATTTTTATATTATAGCATATATATATATATTTTTTTCCAATACCTAATTGTTATGATGCGCCCCGCCCCCCCACAACAAACTCAAGTTGAAGCCCTAACCTCCCACGCCATGGTATTTGGAGGTGGACCCAGGGATGTAAACATTCGGTCCACAATACGTATGATACCTGTTTTTGCGAAGTCTGGCAAGCTATAAACAGAACACCAAACTTCCATACTTCCCGGCATACTCTATGTAAAAGAGAAGGAAGAGAACACTGCAATCACAGGCCTCTGGGGGGGGCTTCTCAAATTTAAAGAGCATCTGAACCCACAGGGGATCACACTCTGCAGATTCAGATTCAAAAGATCTGGGGTCGAACCGAAAATTCTACATTTCTCACAAGTCCCACGATGACACCAATCAGTACTGTAGGTCCACGGACCACACCTGGAGTTCCAAGGCTCTAAGACATTTAAAAACCTCTAGCTAATCTGATGAGACAGTGGTATAATCAAACCAGTCTGGCACTGGATCCGGGACGACAGCACCATCACTATAAATGGACAGGATGGAAGATGAGAGAGGTAAGGGAGCCACTTTCTGACTCTTCCGATGAGAAAGCCTGGGTTTGCAAAGAGGTTGCCTTATCCAGTGACACCAATACAGTCATAACCTGCCTGGCATCACTTTCTGTTTGGACTCGAAGTTAGCTGGGAAACAGGGAGGAAGCCCGCCTCCCAGTGAGCACTGCTCCAAGATGGTATCCTGTGGTCTCCCCTCCTCCTCTGGAATGAAGCACCAACAAAGTGAATACACTCTGAATGAAAGTTTCTGTCTGTGTCCTCCCTTTTGCTCTGGCTCTAGGATTTTCTAATTACTGGCTCACTCTACCATATGGCAGTAGCAGTCAAAGAAAGCAGCTCAGTCAACTTGGTGGCTATCGACTATATCATATTGTCACCTTCATGGGGAAAAAGTGACTGAACACTCTGTACGGGGGCAATGGCTTAGAGGCTGGGGCCAGAGAAACGGGCAAGAGTTGATCTCCAATGCGGAGGAGCGGATGAGCTCATTTAGGGACACTTTGCTAAGCACTGAGCTCTTGGATCACAGAAACCACGGCTCACTCAGCACTGTCCTAAATAGCCAGGATGCACAGCCCACAGGACACCATTCACACTGCAGTCTGCAGAATGGCAACCCCCCTGCCTGTACAGCCAACTGCTGTGACTCTACAGACCCCACTGTGTAATGCAATGCCTGGGGGACAGCTGATGCTCACAAGGTAGTGAGAAAACAGATGAAAGGATTTCATTTTTAATGATACAGTGGCGCTAGGTATCCTGAGAAGGAAGGAAGGAAGGAAGGAAGGAAGGAAGGAAGGAAGGAAGGAAGGAAGGAGACAGGGAAAGGGAGAGGGAAAGAAAGAAAGAAAGAAAGAAAGAAAGAAAGAAAGAAAGAAAGAAGAAAAAAGAAGAGAAAAGAAAAGAAAAGGAAAGAAAAGAAAAGAAAGGAAGGAAGGAAGGAGGAAGGAAAGGGAAAGAAAGGAGGGAACTTCACCTCTACACAACACTTAAGAATGATAAATAAAACATAACAAAATCCTTTTAAACATAGAGCTGAGCTCCAACGAGTCCCAGGGCCCAAAATGAAGACAATAAAAGAAGCTGGTGTGGTGGGGCCAGTCTAAAAGCTGTGGCGATATTGAGTAAATCCATCAGTCCCCAAACCCTAGAGCAGTGTTTCCCGAAGAGAGAAAGAGACCTATGGGTGTTAGGAGAGGAACAATTCGGGGCGGCGGGGTACAAAATTGCACATTTGGCAGACACTTAGTCTCCCTCGCTCCTGGGCACTAAATACAATTAGCACTCCCCAATCTCTGTGCCAATAAAAATGCACCCACACATTTCCCAACAGCGGTACCATCACAGCTTGGGAGCCAATGTCCTGGAGACTCTGGTTTCAACTGTAAAGACCAGAGACAGAAGACAGGTGTCAGATCGGCACAAGTTGGAGACCTGGAACTGAATCTCCCGCATTCATTCACACGGTTCCTTTGAAGGGCTACACCCTTGGTCTAAAAAGATGTAAAAAGATAAAAGAAAGAGGTATTCGTTGGCAAAAGGGAAGGGAAGGGGAGGAAAGAGAAGGGGAGGGGGAGGGAGGGGAGGAGGGGAAAGGAAGCTTGTCTGATTCTGCCTACACTCTGAGACAGAAGACCAGGGAGGGAGCAAGGGCGGGGGGGGGGGGGGGGGGGGGTGGTTCTCCAAAGAGGATAACCACAGGCTGACCCCACGGGTGTTTGAGATTCAAATTTACACCAGGTACTGCCTCCAGAAGACTCTATGTCTTAGTCAGCTTGGGCTTCTGTAACAAAAGACCACAGAGGTGGTGGCTTAAATAAGACATTTATTTCTCTCAGTTCTGAAGGATGGAAGTCCAATGTCAAGGGGCTCACAGATTCAATTCTTGGGGGAGACCCTTCCCCCGGCTTGTGGAAGGCTACCATCTCCCGATGTGCTCACATGACCTTTTCCTCACGCATGTAAGGGAAGACTGAGCTCTGCTCTGTTGCTCTCCTTACAAGGACACTAACCCCATGTGGGGGGACCCCGTCATGGGTGGGGTCCTACTTTCACAAGTTTAGCTAAGCCTGATTACCTCCTAAAGGCCCCAACTCCAAAGAACAATCACACGGGGCTCACGGCTTCAATGTATAGATTTTGGCAGGACACAAACATTCAGTCTGTGACACTTAAGATGAACAAACTATCTTAAAATCATGGTAGATTTGTATTCCAAGGGCTCTGGCAAAGACACAATCAAAATCCCTCTGGAGGAATTCACTCTTAAAAACGGTATCATGTAATGTCCAGAGATAAAGCTTGATCAAATAAAAACTCCTAATCCATTATTAGAAAACCCAGGAAGAACCAGGTCCCCATGAGTGAGAAGCAGCAGACACAATAAACAACAGAAGCAGATTCCCAAGGAATGATACTGTAATCATCAGATACAGAATGGCAAGTATGCATAAAAATATATTTTTTTAAAAGGGACAAGAGGTAACTTCAGAAAAGATCAGGTAAATTCACAGAGTTTTTAAAAATGAGAACTAACCACTGAAATAAAATGCTCAATAGGTAAGAATAAAAGTTCAAGAAAGAATAAAAGATCTATCTGAAGAAAGCACAAAAATCTTCAAATGCTAACACGACCAATATAGAATTGTATTTACAGCTAAAATATTATTCAATAAGGAGAATATAATGTTCTCTGTTTGAGAAACAAAGGTGAGAAAGTTTGCTACAAATAGAACCTCACTAAAACAAACAAAACAAACAAACAAACAAACAAACAAACCCCACCTCTCTAAGGGATATACAGCTATACCTTGGAAATATTCTGAGTTTGGGTCTAGACCACTGCAATGCAGTGGATATCACAATAAAGCAAGTCAGATGAATTTTTTGGGTTCCCAGTGCATATAAAAGTTATATTTACACTACATTGTAGTCTATTAAGTGTGCAATAGCATTGTGTCTTTAAAAAGTTTGATTTTCTAATGTTTACTTATTTATTTTGAGTGAGAGAGAGAGTGAGCGGGGGATTGACAGGGAGAGAGGGAGAGAGAATCCCAAGCAGGTTCTGCACTGTCAGTGCAGAGCTGGAACTCACAACCTGTGAGATCATGACCTGAGCCAAAATACAATTGGACGCTTAATGGACAGAGCTACCCAGGCACCCTCTGACGATTTTATTTTTAGGGGCACCTGGGTTGCTCAGTCTGTTAAGCATCTGACTTCAGCTCAGGTCATGATCTGGCAGTTCATGAGTTCCAGCCCCACGGTAGGCTCAGAGCCTGGAGCCTGCTTTGGATTCTGTGTCTCCCTCTCTCGCTCTGCCCCTCCCCCACTCACGCTCGGTCTCTCTCTCTCTCTCTCTCTCTCTCTCAAAAATAAATAAACGTTAAAAAAAAAAAAAAAACTAAAGGGACAGGAAGATATAGTTGGCCAATGTAAAGAAAGCGCAACAAATGTCAGACAAAACAGATTTAGCCACCACGTGAAGATGTATCAATCGTTAAGCTTGATCCATGAATAGATTTCAAACCCTTTTTCTAAGAATTTGTGAGTGTGCATCTTCCCCAAGGATCAGCAATTTATACAAGCAGGCCACACATCAGACCACAACATAAACCTCAACAAATTTCAAAGAGTCTGTATTTAGCCTCAGACTACACTTAGCAGCATTTTGGGGGAACTGAATTTGTGACAAAAGAGCACAAAGCCAGTAACACCAGAGACAGTTTTAGAGAAAAAGAACAAGATTACACAAGGTTACAGTATTTTCCCTACCAGATCCCAAAATGTATTATAAAGCACAGACTAACAGAGCATAGAGCCCAGAAACGGCCCTTCCGCATAGGGGGGCATGATATACACAGTAAATGTGCCGTTTCAGACCCCAGGGAACAGAATGGTACCTCTGCTAAACGTTATGACAGAAGACTACTCACATGGAGAAATAGAACGTTGTACCCTAACACACACCATTCACAAAAATCAATACCAGGGAGGTATACACCAGAAGAATGTCAGTAGCCCCAAGTATAAAATCTTTTATAAGAAAATACAGAAGACAAGGTTGGTTACCTTAGGAAAGAGAAGGGCTTCTTAAATAAGATATAAAAAGCACAAATCATAGAAGACAGAAACATCAGATTTTATTAAAATTAAAAACCCTTCTGGGGCACGTGGGTGGCTCAGTCAGTTAAGCATCCAACTCTTGATTTTGGTTTAGGACACAATTTCACGGTTCGTGAGTTTGAGTCCTGCA